AATAAGAACCATAGGTTTTGCTCTCATTCACACTGGTATAATTCTATCAGATTCCATGGAAGCCGAGAGCTGGATCTTGGCCATGTTCTGAATGTAGACTGGTGGCTAAACGTAGGCTTATTATCCTAGCTTCCATCCACAGGATTACGCTAGGTCTGTATTTAGGCTGTGTGCATTGGGTTTTGAGGAGTCATCCCCTGGACTGGTTTGCCGAGAGCATTCTATGTAATTGCTCCAGGGCGGATGGCTAGACTGGGTTTGGGATGAACCTGAAAATCTACATTTGATTCAGAGTGAATGTCACAGTAGCCATGTCTACACTGGGAAATGTGCCATTTTGGAAAACGTGTTAGCTTACACATTTTAACTAACATGATGTTAAGCATGATTTTGTCCTGGATGTAGTCTGGGACAGAAGTTATTAAAATGTGTTAGATGGTTAGGGTCACTGTAGTTTTGACCACCCCTTAGCAAACCCAACTCCAAGGTTAGCACTAGGTGCTAGGTGTAGTTAACATCATGTTAACTAACATCTTCAAACATGACACATTGTGAGCATAACCTTGGACGGGGTCAGATTTATATTGAGCTTTATAACAGTTTTGCTTTGGGTAGAAGATTGCACCCTGTGCCCTTGTCTACCTGTCATGCTCTGGACCCCAACCAGTCAAAGCGTAATGCTCAGGGGTCAGGCGGATCAAAGGGCAGTCTATATCAGTGATCGGAGTTCATGCAAGAAGTTCTGATAGCCAGGAGATCCAATCCAAGGGGAAGGTACAGCAAAGCAGCTGGTGGGGTTGGGTGGGGCAGCAAGGCAAGGTCAAGCCAGGTCCAAGTAGCAGCCAGCAGGCAATGGCTTGCTGTTCAAACAAGGCCAGAAAGAAAGCAGGAATTTTATATATGGTCACCAGCCAATCAGGGTCAAGACCATGTGGCCAATCAGGAAGAAGTTGCAGAATGCAGGAAGATGGCCTACCCAAGTGTATGACTTCTCTGATCAGTTCGTGTGGTGTGATGTGATGGCCAAGGCTGCTTCCTCAACCCAGGGAATCTAGGTTTGAGATTGGGGTTCAAGACCAAGGTCCTGATTACAATGTAGTTGGAGACTTATAGTTCATCTCATCATCCCCCTCCTGACATGGATTAAAGACCTGCCCTGTAGCATCCCAGTATTGGCCAGAAGGTGGCTTAAGGTTGTATAGTACCAAATAATGAAAAAAAAATACCATTGTAATTCATGAGTGAAGGAGCAAGGTGAAGCTTGGGGTGGCAATCAGGGGTGCTGGAACAATTTGTGTGGGGAGAGTGTGTGTGCTGAGAGACATTGAACCAAACTGTAAACCCTGTGTATGATGGAAACCACTTCAAGTCGGGGGTGCAGCAGCCCTATGTTCCAGTGCCTATGGTGACAACTGGAGGAGAGTATGTGTGGGGAAAGTTTCTAGACATGAATAATGGGGGAAAGTACTGGGATCTGGAGCCCCTTTTGAGGTGAGGGCAGAGTCTCTGGCCCATATCAAGAGACTTCATAAATAAACTTTGGCTGGAAGCTCTGAATGGGGCAGAGTTAAGGTTAATTTAAATAATTAGGGCTAATCAAAAACCACAGGGCAGGGGGAAGGAATAGTGAACATTTTGTCTAAAAATAAATGCCTGTTTTTTGTTGAAATTTGAAATGTCTAAATTCAGAATGTTTCCCTTTGTTCTATGGCTGGTCAAAAACAGCGGAAACCGTTAACAAAAATGGGATTGGCATTTTCCTCCCTTTTTTGGGTCAAATTGTGAAGTTTTTTTTCATCAATATTTCAATACCAGAAAAATTGTGACCTCGCTCCAGGAATAACAGGCATGAGAACGTTCTGACACTGGGGGCTCTGAATTCTCACCATTGCTTTTGCTGTTGTGTGGACTAAACATGGCTGAAGGTGGGCAGGGGTCTTGTTAAATGAGCACAGCAGAACCCAGCTGGAGCTGGAATTAAGATCTAGATCTGTTCCTTTCCTTCACCACTTTCTAGCTTCCCCTTGGCTTTAGAAGCCAATGCCCTTGAGCCAGGCATGCCTGATGTGGGTAGGCGGCTAGAGACAGCAATGATTTCATTCAGCCACATCTTTCTGTTTGGCTTTGATTCCCCTCTCTCTAATCAGTGCTGTGCCCTTCTGACAGCCGATTATCCCTGGCTGTCTCTCTGGGACCAGCATGAAGGTGATGGGAGAGGGGCAGCAGCAAAACGAAGCTCGGTCAACAGAGGATTAATTATGTTTCTGGCACTTTGCAGTGGTGTCACCTCAGCACAGAAAAATCAAGGCATTTCCCCCTTCGCCCAGCACGTCAGGAATAGCAATTAGTATGGGCTGATTAGAAACAGCACAGAATTACCAGCTTCTACCCTTTGCAATGCTCTTTTACCTGGTCGAGGCTATGGCTTAGGTGCCAGCCTGTTGTAACAGGTGACATTTATCACCATCAGCTCTCACCCTCTTAAAGGTGACTTGCCAGTCATTTTCTCCCTGATAGGAACAGCAGTCTCAGAGCAGCTGGCACATCACAAAAGACATTCCATCCAGAGTGTTCTGCTCCCCCAGGGACTGCCTAATGTGTCTATGTGACACTGCCCTCTATGTGATGGTATCACAGCTGTGTGTCATAGACGCTGTACTGCTAGGAGCTAATGAGAATCCCTTTGGTTTTGAAGGGGCCCATGCTCAAATGACAGAGACCAGGCTGGATTCTTAATCTCAGTGAGGACAACAGAACAGGGCAGTTTGTAGCCCCAAATCAGGATCAATAGTGGGAGGATGTTTTTGCCTACCAATTGGGGGTGGGGGGTAGGCTGCTGGCCCTCTCCCTAGGCCAGAGGCAAGGCCCAGGCTCTTTCATTCCCTTTTCTCAGGGCCCAGG